TAAGGTTAGCTTAAAGATTAGACCACATAAAACAAGGTTGACCTAGAGGGATGTCCCTTGACTCAAGATCCTCAATAAAGTTGTTAAATCTCCTCATGCTTGAGGTAACCCTTTGTCTTCCTCCACAAACTTGGCTACATAAAAGTCTCCTCCTAGGTACCATGGTCCCTCCCACAAATCTCTAATGTCTATTAACTCTTCCCACATTACATTTCTTTCTTTATAAGAGTTTGGACCATAAACATTGGTAAGGACCCATTCAAATCCATCCTGAGTATTCTTCAACTTAACTGAAACTGAGAGTCTTCCCACTAGTTCTTCATTGCACTTGAACATTTCCTCCTTCCAAGCTGTTATTATTCCCCTAAAGGCACCCTAAGCTGGAGCATAACTCCACTGAATATCTCTCCCTCCCCAAACACTCCTTATCCATTTCCTATCTACCTCTTGAACTTTGGATTCCTGGATCAGCACCAAGTCTGGTTTCTCTTTCTTCTCCCTGATCAGCCTTCTCTTTATAGCACTTCCTAAGCCCCTCACATTCCAAATGATAACCTTCATTGACCTAGTTGAGATTACCCTAGAGCACCTCTTCCTATAACCCTCCTTTTCTTCTTCCTCCCTTGGCACTAAACTCATTGCCCCCTTCAACATTATTAATAAGCTTCTCCATTTCATTCAATTTTCTCCTTCTTTTTCCTCCCCCCCCCCACACTTTTCCTTTTTTTTTTTGTTTGAGGGCTCACCTCCTTAGCTTTCTCTACATTAAGCCCCATTCTTCCAACTAGGTCCACCACCAGGTCTTCTTCCTCCTGCATACTTTCCCCCAAGATACCTACTTCAGCTCTGATCTCAATCACTTTTCTTTACTCACAACATTCTCATTTTTTTTCTAATTCTGTTTTTTTGAATGAATTTTCTCCCACCTTCCTACATTCTCCACTTCTCATGCTTTCCCCTGAATCCTCTATCTCCTTTCCACAGTCCGTCTTTGAACCTCCCTCTAAGTCTTCCCCAAACTCACCACAGCATCAAAAGGATCCATGGACCTTTGCACGACGAGGACAGGATTTGGGTTGTCTATAATAGTATTAGAGGAAAGGTCAGTAACAAAACTGAAATCACTGAAGTTACAAGGAACACCAGAGTTCAAAGGAGGATCTTGTTGAGGATTGGACTTTCCCAAATTTCTTGTTGCCCTGAATTGGATCTTGGATGCCACTCGAACCAAAGCCAATTTTCTCTATTTGGTTGCTTCCTTGGTGGTTGCATTATCTTGTCCCAACCTTGGTTTTGTGCCCCTTACTGGAGTACCCTTCGAAGTTTTATTTTCCCCTGCTCAATCACAATCTGACTTTCCAAGTTTTGCTTCTCAATTGAGGGAGATCCTCCAATTGTCGTTCGATTACAAGAAGGTCCCCATTGATCATGGACCAGATACATCAAACTCACATCACTTTGCATTTGCCCTACCAAAGATTCGTCGGCCCAAGTGTTGGAAGACTCTCCACGAGCTTTATCCCCCTACCTAAGCTGCTTATCTACTTTAATATCAAAGCACTCCTCAACTTGTGTCTCACTAACTTTCTCCCCTCAAACAAAGCACCAATATGCATATCCTCTTCATCCTCCAAGCAAACTTGGATAGTTTCATCAATACTTCCAAAGCTTGAATCACCGTAAGCTCTCCTCCTCAGAATTGTCGCAACTAAGCCATCGGTTGTCGTCATTTTGTCCCGCTGAACTTCCTTCAATCGGGTATATCTAGGGTTAGGTTTGTCTTGTATCAACTGAGGGTGCTTAACCGACTGTAACTGGGTCGAAATTCCCAAGTTGTTATTGTTTAAGCTTGATGGGGATGATGATACACCACCCACCTTAGCATCTACCATCATCCCCCCTTCCACGACCCCGTGCATAAATTTTTAGTTATCATGTGAGGTCAGTTTAGAATAAGATCCAACCACTCAGTCTGCCTCTGGTTCAGAAGCCTTTAACCACGCCTTTTCTCCTTTTAGAACCTCCACATAGGCCAATGAGCCAGTCCTTCTAAATTCAAAAAAGAAAAAAAAAAAAAAAAAAGAATAACCATCTATTAATGGGTCTTTCAAGCCTAATGACAACTTGCCCGATGGTCTATTTTCTTTGTGGGAAAATTAGCATTAAAGCTCGAGCCATCCTTACTCTTTCCTCCACGAGATCTTCACCCTTTCTCCCTTTCTTCGAAAGAGTCAATTCAACTTCCGACGCTATCCAAACCTGCCTCCACTTTCCATCACAAAAAACTTCAATCATTCTTGGAATCTTCTCCAGCTTGGTCGCACATAACTGCAAGGTAGCCACATGAAGATCAGACAAATCCAATTCTTATAGGGAACCTCCACACAACGCTGCAATATGGACAAAAAACTCCTCTATCCAAAGATGGAAAGGCAGTCCCACTAATTTCAGGTTAATGGCGTCACACTCTATCTCCACCTCATTATAGGATGGATTCCAATTTTCTACCATCGATACTCTCTCTCCAGTGGCAATTCTAAGTAGATTCTCACATCGGCTACCCAAATCTAATACCACTACACTTTCACCAAAAGGTCAAAGAATAGCCCTTTCCATTGCCAAAACATAGGCCATTATATCCTGTAAAAGTCCTCCCCAACAGCCACCTTCCTATCCGATCTAACCACCATTCTTCTTCTCCAATCCTCCATGCTCCACTCAGTCATCAATTTTGAGCATATGGAACTGCCGCAAATGCCTCCTCCTGTCAGTTTCTTCACATCGTTGGTATTCTCAAACAAGTGTCTCGACTCTAGGGTAATCACAAGAGACTTCATGTGTTCTGCTTAGTTCTCCAAAAACCACATCCTCTACTCATAATTGTCCAAGGCCTCCGCAAACATCAACCACCCTTGTTTTTCTTTTCTAGCAGAATACAAACTATCTACTTATTACCATGTCTGAACATTTCTATCGATTGAATAAAACCTCCCCCGTCATTGTTCTTCTTCTCCACAATAAACATTTTCTTTTGCAGACATGGTTCCCCTTTCCACCTGGTCTCCATGATGGCAAATACAGTGCCATCAATGAACCCTTTCAACCAACTTGAAACTTCCCTGCTTAACACCACTACCGATCTTTTATCTTCTCTAATTTTGACCGACGAGCTACCACGTGTCTCTTCTAGCAGTTTTCTTTTCCATGACAAAAAAAATTCTTCCACCTATTAGCCGAAACAAACCTCTCCTCCATCGGTCTCACACCTGTCCCAGGAATTCTGGCTTAGCTCATAAGCACTAAAATGAATTGAGGTTTGGCAATAACAACCTCCTAAAAGTTGGCCACCTAATGTAATGTCACTTGAATTGGCAATGGGCAAGGCTGAATTGAATCAAGCATAAACTTTAACCTAGAAAGCAAATCCAATAATGGAGGGAAGGGCATCAAAGCAGTAGAGTGGATGCACGTGAAACCAAGGCATACATGAAGCACCCTATAACCTAAAGTTTGAAATGACCCATGCTATAAGAGCAGCAAAAAATGTCAAAAGAAAAGCTCATTAAAAAAGAAGTTCCGAGTTCAACAAGAAAGTGGTCTGGAGAGAGGGCAAAGTGGATAGCCGATGCAGAGTTGAAGACTGTGCGATGAATGGAAGAGACGTCAACGATTACATTGGCTTCCAGGTTCGGGCTGTTCAACGATGACAAAAGGATAGTCGGAGTCCAGAGAGGTGACTGGTGAGGGGATAGGGTTTGAAGGAGGGACTAAATGGTTCAGCAACGATGAGGACAGAAGGGATAGAGAGATGGAGAGGGAGAGGTGGAAAGCTGATATAAAGTTGCAAACCTTGTGGTGAATGGAAGAGATAGTGATAACAATGTCGGCTTCCAGGTTTGAGCCATTCAACAATGATGTAGGGATAGTCAAAGTCCGGAGAGGTTACTAGCCAAAGAATAGGATTTGAGAGGACAAGGGGACGAAGGGGGAGGGGGAGGGGGAGGAATCTTGGTATTTCTACACATCTCATATACATCCTTTCCCCCTTTTTGGTATGAAAGTTACCCTTTTTCTTTAAAACAAATAATTTCACACATATCAAAAGTGGTGAAATCAGCTTCTGAATTTAATTCAGAAAACCATAAGCAGGTATCTCAATAAAGTTTCTCTCATTCTTTTCTCTATCGACAGCAATTACCATGGATCTACTGCTTTTTTCTACAGCGAATAATTAAAATAGTTAAAATCATTGTTGGAAATTGAGAAATAAAACACCCATAAGATTGGTGTAATAAAGATTAAGATGTTAAGAACTTGAGGTGGAGTAGTGACAGGCTTGAATGGACAACTTAGAAATGGCTATGCTCAAGGGAAATTAAGGCCTAAAGGCAGAACCAATTGACAATAAGATAAGGCTGCACCAAACAAGATCGCATGCCTGTGCAAAATAAAGGCCATCCAGAGCACCAGGGAGTAATTATGCAGGCTAAAAGTTATAAAAGAACAAGAGGAAAGCCAAAATAGGACATGAGAGCAGAAGGTATGGCCCCATAAGGTGCAGAATGATATATGCCATGCATGCACCCAATATTGGCAAGATAAAGTATAGGATGATGGAAAGTCAGGGTTATTCTCTAAATTTGATTAAATAAATGTTAATAACTATAAAAGCTTCCCAAGGAAAGATCATTGTTGAATCTCAAAAGGCATCAGCAGAATAGCAGGCAACAAACAAATAGATGTCAAAAGAATTATAAGCCCAAGGAGAATGGATGACTAGTTGTTGACCATGGTACAGTACAGTGTTGGTGCATGGAGCTGTGGTGTCTGGCTATATGCCAATGGAAAATGTGTGTTGCTAATAAATGAATATTTTTCTAATTTTCCTTTTTCTTGAAATGCAGATCTTATGATATAATTAACCTAGTCATGTTAAACTTCTGGCAAGGTAAGAATCCTCAAGTATAAGCAATTGAAAAGGTTGGAAAATCAATGCGCACCTGCAAGCATTTAAAATGGCAGAAAAGGTGACGACATTTGGTTTTATTTCCAGTTGATGCATCTTATGAAAAACTCCCAAAATGTATAAGATTTCCTGAGATTTTCTCTTTGTATCTTCCTCCGGATGTCGTGCTTTTTCAGCAGCTAGCTGCCCAAAAATCCTCATAACCTGGTTTTCCTCCTCTTTGTCTCCTGCCTTTCGTTCAATGGCTTCCAAACAATCTTTAGAAGTTAAATATTCAGGTTGTGACTCATCGGTACCGTCATCAGCATCTTGAAAATTTAAAGTTGCTGACCGGCCAAAGGCATCGATTATCGAATTGTATGTAACAACATTAGGCCGGATCCCTTCCCTTGTCATCTCATCAAGCAAGGAGACAGCAGACTCCACCAGTCCATTCTTACATAAGGCATCAATTAGTGCGCTGTACAGAACTACATCAGCCTTCAGTCCTGCCTGCTTAAACTCTCCAAATGCATCCATTGCTTCTTTATACATACCTCCTTTTGAGTATGCATCAATCATAGTAGAGTAAGTTAAGACGTTAGGAGTAACATTCTCTGCTTTCATCTCTTCAAACAATTCTTTAACCTCGTCATACTTCCCTTGCTTCCCATAACCACCCAATAATGCATTGTAAGTGACAGCGTCCTTTTTGATCCCCGAACTCTCCATCTCCTTGCAGACACTCAAAGCTTCCTCAAATCGCCCAAGCTTTGCATAAATTGAGAGCAAGGTATTATACGAGACCCTATCCAAGCCAATACCCACAAACTTCATCTCATTAAACAAATTCAATGCCTCATCTAATCGGCCAGCTTTGGCATACCCGTCAATCATGGTACTATAAGTGACCACATTGGGACATGCATTCTTCTCAGACATCTCAGACATTATTTCAAAGGCCATATCCATCTGCCCACCTTTACAAACTGCATCTAGAAGTGTATTATAGGTAAAAATATCCCTAGCAACCCTTCTATAAACCATCTCATTGAACAAGTTTCGAGCTTCCTCCCACAACCCACCACGACTACAAACAGCGAGAAGGGAATTAAAGGTGATCCGATCGGGTTGCACCCCATTCCTTACCATCTCATCGAATATCTCCAGTGTCCGGTTAAAATCCATACCCCCTTTCCCACATGCATCAATAACCGCATTATATGTCACCAAGTTGGGCTTCAACCCTGACGCTTTCATCGACTCAAAGACTTCTATGGCCTGCTCACAAAACCCACTCCGTCCATAAGCACTAATCAAAGCTGAAAACGCATAAACGGTATTACCGTAACCTTCAATGTTAGCAGTTTCGAACACACTCTTCGCAAGATCAACCTGTCCCAACCTACCGAGAGTGCTAATCATCGCACTCGCCAACTTCCCCTGCTCGTTCCGCTTGCGCTCTCTCTGGACCGCGAACTCGAAACACCGGATTGCCTTGGAACACTCCCCGCGATTCCCGAGCTCCCGAAGCAGGAAGGTGTAGTCGTCCGAGCCGGAGAGCTTGGACTCGAAGTTGCGCAGAAGAGCCTCTAGGGCTTTGTCGTCTCCACCAGAGCGGATTGCCTGCTCCAGAGCTTCCTCGGCAACGGAGGTGTGTCTGCTGCCCACGGCCGTTTTGGGGCGGCCGAAATGCATCTTGGAGACGAACCGAGTCGATCTCCGACCACGAAAATCGGCACCAAGTTCGGTCTTCGAAGGGGGGAAAGGGGAGAGAGGGGGGAAATTAGGGCTTCGAGAGAGAGGAGTGTTACCTGGCTTGGAGGCATTTCGAGTTGCAGGTGAAGAAGAGCCTAGGGAGAACTTCTGTGAACTCCAATGGTGGTTCTGGTGGTGATTCTTAGGATGATGCTGTAGGTGGTTTTGGGGATAATGGTGGTTTTGGTAGGGTTTGGTTGAGGTGATGGAGCAGTGCGGAGGAGTCGAAGAGGCCATAAAAAGATTTGGAGAGATTCTCAGAGAGAGAACGTTAAATAAGAACGCAAGGATGAGGACGTTTTATAGGTCAAACGGACGCTTTCGGACATAGTTAACTGTAACGGCTGTGACGATTCGCTTTTTGTGTTGTGTAGATCTTGCTTTATAACCGAAAATAAAGGATAGCGGAGATTTTGGAGTGTGAGGATAAATTGTTGCACGTGTCCGGTGCCCGTCTTTGGTAGGGATAGGGGTAGATTCGAGCCGACTGATAGGGGTAGATTCGAGTCGAGCCGAATAGTTGGGTATTCGAGCTCGGATTCGATTATAAGCCCTTTTTTTTTTGAAAAATAAAAATTACATGTAGAAAATTATTTTTTATTTTTAGATAAAAAATTAAAAGTTATAAAAATTATTTACTATTATTCATAAAAAATAAAAATATTATTATATATATATTTTTTTACATATGTATGTATGTATATTTATTATAATATATATATATGTATATATTTATGTGTGTATGTATGTATATATAATAAAAATTATTTATTTAATATTAGGCTTGTGAGCCGAGTTTCATTGGGCTTGAACTTGGCTCGATTAGCAAACGAGCCTATATATCGGGCTTAAATTCGGCTCGAAGATTGGTTTAAACCAAGTCGAGTCGAGCTTTTTACAAACTGAGCTCGAATAGCTCATGAAAGGCTCGGCTCGTGGTCACCCCTAGGCCCACTCAAAAAGCCAAGAAGCAATGTCATACCTGTTCACAAGCTGGTCGAGCCGAGCTTTGTCTTTACATTAACAAAATATGCTCATGCCCTAGCCAAGCCTGGCCTAACCATCAGGCCTAGGTCTTGAGACCAAGCCCGGCCCTCATATAAAGCCCGAAGCCCAGGCTTGAGCCCGAGCCCGGCAGCCCTGGCTAGAAATTTGAAAAAAATATTTTTTTCTTTTTTATTCAATTAAAAACTATTTTATTTATATTAAAAGAACTCAAACCTAAAAAACCTAATGAAAGATCTCACTATTACTTGAAAATGGAGAAGAAGAATAAAGAATAAATATATTATATGTATTTTTATTATATAATACATTATCAAGTTAGGCTCGGGCTCGAACCCGGCCTGAAAAAAGGATCGGGCCCAATGTTTTAGGCCTAAGCCCGAGCCCACAAGTCTAAAATCCTGTCCAAGCCCGACTTAGATCATGCCTAGCCCATGGATAGGTCTGATCGTGACAGTAACTTCTTCAAATAAGCTAAACCAAAGAAATGTCGTGGCTTTTTGCTCTCCCGATAAGCCTCTGTGGTAACTTTCTCAAATCAGTTAAACCAAAAGTTAAGCCCTCCAATTCCCAAACTTGCTTTTAAGTGCCCATTTGGGAGAACTTTCATGCAGTATCCATGGGCACTATAAGGTAGGTTCCACTTGTTTGGTGAAAATCTTAAAAGACCAAAAATAGTCTCATTGCTTATATGAGCTCAAAAATTGAAGTACTATTTGGATATGTTTTGACTTTTGAACCTTTTAAAGCTCAAAGTATAAAGTTGGTTTTCAACTTTCTGTTTTGGACTTTGGCTATAGAACCTGCTTGATAAATATATTGTTTTCAAAACATGTTTTTAGAAGTAAAAGCACAAAATGAGTATTCGGTGACATCAATTTACTTTTGGACTTTTTATAGATGTGCAACATTATGATATTGAGTATAATAGCAAAATTTAGGGGAAAATGGAATTCAACATGATATATTAGGATAGTATTAAACAAGGGAAAAACATGGGTTTAATGTGGAAATTTCAATATAATTGAAGAGGGTTTAACAAGGGAAACAATGGAGTTAAAATAACCATTTAATCGAAATAGATTCAAACCATACAGCCATTACAATGGGATTCAAATAGATAATACATACATTGATTAGGGTTTAAGACAAACACATCATTACATGGGGTCAAATGAAAGAAAGGGGAGTTCATGATGGCATACCTAAAACTTGCCTTTCGTATGTCAAACTTAGAGAAGAAGGTCAATGTACAACAACCTACAAGAGAAGAATGTTAAGATTTGACTAATGCAAATGAAGAAGAAGAAGAAGAAGAAGAAGAAGAAGGAAAAAAAAGAAAGAAAGAAAGAAAGAAAGGAAAGGTAAGGAAATGAAAGGAAAGGAATGAGGAGGAGATCGATAGGGGTTTAACGCTCATTGTTGGTATCTAGGTTTCTCAGTCAAGAGAGATTCAATAGTGAGAGTCATTTTGCAAAAAAATCCAAAAGTCCAAAACCCAAAGTGTTTTTTTTTCTTTTTGACTTTGGGATTGTGGCCCTCAAGTGACTTTGGCTTATGGACTTTAGCTTCCAAAAGTAGGTGCTACAAAGTAAACAAAGCAAACTTTTGGACTTTTAGGTTTATAAAAGCCAAAATTCTGAAAGTAAAAGCTTACTACAAGAAAATGGACTTCTAGCAACGGTCCCCAAAACCATTGCTAGAGACTTATGGCAACGAATACAAAACCGATTCCTCTTCCATTGTGGCAATAAAGTTCTTGCAGTGGTTTTATGAAATAATTGTTAGAGTTATCATTTAGCAATGGATTATGTCCGTTGCTATAACATTATAAAAACCATTGCAAAAGTAGCTATAGCAATAGACAAAACCGTGTCTAAATCATTACAAAAAAGAAAAGTTGGCGCTTTTTTTTGCTATGGTTATTTTTATAAAATTGTTGCTATATAACACCAATCGCAAAAGTTTATAAAAAAAACTGTTGCTAAAGAATACATATCACAACGGTTCTTCATGAAAATCGTTGCTACATAATGCTTATCGCAACGGTTCATCATGAAAACCGTTGCTACATAATACCTATCGCAACGGTTCTTCATGAAAATCGTTGCTACATAATACCTATCACAATGGTTCTTAATGAAAATCATTGCTATATAATCACCTATCACAATGGTTCTTTATGAAAACTGTTGCTACATAACGCCTACTGCAATGGTTTTTCATGAAAACCGTTGTTATATAACACCTATTGCAATGGTTCCTCATGAAAACCATTGCTATATAACGTTTATTGCAACGATTTCTCATAAAAACCATTGTTGTATAACGTCTATCGCAACAATTGTGAGCGTTGGAAAATGACTCACTTGGGTTAGAAATGGAGCCACCACCCATCAATTACGAATTTGGAGGTGATGGGACCTCCGAGAATGATTTTCAAAAATATTTTTGTTCGATGATGACTCCAAATCCTGAGGCACTAGTTAAACTAATCTGGGTAGGTCTCGAATGAGAGGGAAGGGGTTAGGCACCCCTCTCCTGGGTTCAATAGGTAAGGCCCACATGATATTCTAAACAGACACAATCACAAATGTATAATCATTTAATTGAATAAGAGCATAATAAACAAAACAAATAAAGTAAAAAGATCATTAGAGAAACTCCCCTCAAACTATATTTTTATTTTGTTTTTTAATTTTTTTGTATTTTATATGTTATTATTTTTTATTATTTCTTACAAAACCCTATTTGGTTTTATATTTATAATTTTCTATTTTTTTATTTTTGACTCTTACATTTTTACATTTCTTTATTTCCCCCTTTTTTACACATATATTATTTTACTTTTTATTACTGTTTTCCTTCTTATAGCTTATTTTCCCCCTTGATACTTAGATGAGTTCAAGTCTATTGAACTAACTATCCAATTCCATTCCTTTGCCTAATTTACTTATTTTTTATTTTTTTATTATTATTATTTTTTATTGGATTGATTTTCTCCCCTCGACTGATAATGTGTGTGCGTATGACCTAGAGGCAAAAAGAGTTTGGCCTCCAGGTTGGTTTTTAAAACATTGCTTTTTAGTATGGGTAAGCTCAAATGCCTAACCCTATCTAGGCCCACACCCAAAACCTCACTCTATGGTTCCATTAGTTTAAATAAATAAATAAATTTAATATGAATAAGTTTGGATGTCTGACTAGGGTTGTAATCAGATTGGACTCAGATCGTATGTAGCAAAATTTGCATCCCGATCCGATTACTGATAGCATGCATGTAGTCAAATTCAATTCGAAATCCAATCAGATTTAAAGACTTGGGTTTGAATTTGAATCCTAAGGGACTTGGATTGGATTCAGATTTAATCCGACTGCACTATAAATTTTCTAAAATACCAAAATATTAAAAATGTATCTATCTTTTAACCTTTATATATAATAAACTAATATAAATATAACACACTAAATTTATTATATATATTCACACATAATATAATATAGAATATATTTTTATAATTGTAAATATAATTATATAAAATTTATATATTAAACTTAATAAATATTATATTATAATCGGATTGGATGGGGTCAAATCCAAATCTGATTCGATTATTAATTAAATGTAGATTTTAACACCTGAATATGATCCGATTACATATATACACCATCCAAATCCTAGATAATTAGATCAGATGTCAGTTTGGGTTTTTGGGTATCACTGCTAGGCTATGCCCAACCCCCTTTACTTTGTTTTGCGACCAAGACCCCCATGTACTATGACTGTGAAACAAATACCCCCTTCCCTGTTAACTTGGCTAATGGAATGTGTCATTTGATGAAAATACCCTCCACAAGTCGAGTTAACATTTTCAAAATGGCAAAAATAGACACCCACCCATTATTCGTTGTTTTTTAATAGATTTCACATTTGACCTAAACACTGCTTGAAACCCAATCGAAAACCCTTGTGTAACCCATCCCAGATCATCTGTGTCCGTTCTATGTTAGAGATCACACCAATACCACACCGAATGTAGAGGAAAGTGAGTGTCATCGTTGCCAAAGAAGAAGATATTGTCGCTGTCACTGAAGAAGAAGATCTATTTTCGCCGTTGCTGGAGAAGAAGGCCTCTTTTTGCTGTTGCAGGGGGAGAAAGCTTATTTTTTCACCGTCTCTAATCAAGTGAAGGTAACCTATTGCATAATAGTACAAAACAAAAGATAAAAATATTGTTTTGTTTGAATATAGAGTTTCATTTTGAACTGCTATAGTTGTTCGTGCCTATTATTTACTTGGATTTTTCGATTTTGTTTGAAGTGGGTGTTTCACGT